TTTTAAAAATCATTTGAAACTTGTAGACATCATGACCCTTCATCCTTAAATATTTCAGCATGCTTCTCATAGAAGTAAGGACATTCTCTTACTTAACCACATACTAAGATACACACATAATTTACAAAAATTCTTTGCTAATAAAAAATATCCAGTCCATATTTAAATTTTCTCAGCTGTCCCTGGCTGTTTCTTCTATATCCTTTTTTTTTTTTTTAAAGAATCAGAATCCAGTCAGGACCTCAAGGACTGTGTATTGTGTTTGGTGTTACATCTCTTTAAATCCAGAGCAGTGCCACCACCTTGCCTTTTCATGGCGGAATGCTTGTTTTTTAGTTTCTATACGGGAAAGGTGTAATTGCTGATGATAGTTAGATGGACCAATTCTAAAAAGTAATAAAATTAATGGATCTATATTTAAATAGCCAGGAAAGTAATAGATAAGAAACAATCTTGAATTTGCTAGGGCTCTATGAAGTGGGTAAATATTGATGTGAATTTTGTTGCTCCTCTTAATGAAATATTCCACAAGTTCTTTGTTCTTGCTGTCTTGTACATACTTAATAGTATTGTCCATGAGCTAATTTTTAGGTTTGGAAATACTGAGTCTTCTTTAGGCCAACTCCATTCACTACCTGCAGTCACCATTTTATTTTAATTATTTCTTCCCAGGCCTTAAAATTCATGATAGTCAAAAGTACATATTTTTTGGCCCCTCTCTTTGGTCTTCCATGTTAGACTCTTGTTGAGTTGATGTTGGAAAGTTTAGTAAGAACAGCCATCTGTTTTGTTGATCCTTTTTCTAGTCAGGTTTTTCATCACTCAGTCATCCTGCTGGGCTTGTTGCCTTAGTAACCATATAATTGGCACTCCACAGGTGAGGAAAATTCTTGTAGTTCAGGCTGAGTATCAGTAACAGCCCAAATGTGCTTTTGTTTGTGCTGAACTGAATGTTCATTATTCTGATTTCCCATTTTGTGTCCAGATAAGATGGGTAGTTTTCTTTTTCTCATAAATAATTTGGATCTTATTGAATTTCTTACTTGTTCAGAGAATGAAAAAAGAAGGTACCTAATTTTATTTCCCTGAAAATCCGAACTAACGTAATACTCAGACTTCTGACATTCTGCCTTTAATCCCGATTTTCTGATCTTTCTGTTTTCTAACCCCATATTTTTAGGTGATGTTCTTGACTGCATACCCAGTATGATTTTTCTTAAAAATAGCATAGATGATTTTTCTCCATAAGACCAGTAATTTGATTTAGGTGTGTGTACACAATACAAAAATAAATGTTCTGTGTTTGTGAATTTATGTAAGATTACATGTTTGATCGCTTTCAAGAATTCAAATTAATAAGGGTTACAACTAAGAGTTTATGATGGTAGTATGTTAAGAAAATCAGATGTTCAGAGTGTTATTAGATAATTGGAAAATTCTGGGTAAGTCAAAAGTTGTATGCCTTGGAATAGATGTGGCTCTAAATTCTACTAATTATTGCCTTGCCTGGGACAAGTTGTTTGCCTGTCATTGCATGTGTGGCCTCATCTATTAAATGGAAGTTGGACAATACTGCTTCTGAGTTACAAAAATTACATTTCATCAGGTAACACATTGGCATCACCAAATTCTTCTACCCCAAATCAGGCTTACCTGATTATCAGTGCAGTTGAAACTGTATTGTGCACCAAACCTATTTTTCACCCAAAGTAGGAAAAGCTGCCTTGGGCTGATAGCCTTGGTGTGAGGGTGCAGTTGGTGCCCTGTGCTTGTTTGAGGGTCCCCAGTTTGCTGCTAGACCATAAGCATTGTAAAGATAAGGGCCTTGCCTATCTTGCTGTCTGTTCTATCCTTTCTCTCAGGTTGAGGGCCTAGCACGTGGATAAATGATCATTAGGTGAATGAGTGACTGCCAACCTATTTACATATATTGCCTCATACAGTCTTCACAGTCAACCTTAAAATGCCAACCTTGTAATAAAAATAAAAGCCAACCTTATAATGTAAAAAACTCAGTTTTACAGATGAGTAAACTAATAACTTGTTCAAAGCCTTATAGCTTGGGGTAGGAGCTGCCTCCAAACAAAGCCATTTTAAATGTGACCATGTCAGTTGTAGCATTAAGTGTATGCACAGTGTTGTACATCTATCACCATCATCCATCTTAGCCTATGCCTTTTTTTCCCACTGTTACACTGCCTCCCTTTGTTCTTCAGGGTGCTTTTGGTTTAATCTGAAATCAGATTAAAAACTTTTTTTGAGTGAAAACACTGAAGGAACCCGAAAGTCTAAACTTTCAGGGTGGGCTGAATACTGAGTCCGTGTTCTCTCTGTTCCATCTCCTCAGCCAGCTTTATTTCATGTAGAATTTCTGGTTGGCTAATAATAGTATGTTGTTTTGAACAGGAATACATGCTATCATGTCTGCTTGTTATCATACTGAATTGGATCTGTTTGGTCCCTTTGCCTGTTGGCACAGCGAGGCAGCAATTCGAATGGTGTCAGGCCAGAAGAGCTGTGTACCCACATTTTGAACAGTGGATCTGCCTGATGGGTTAGAGCACCTCTGGGCTGAAATCCACTCTCCGCCTTGTCCTTGGGACATGAATTTGCTTTGTCATCTTCCACTCCTGCTTCCTGCCAGGAGTCCATTTCACAACTTTCAGTTTCACTTTGGGCTTTACAAATGTTTCTTAGTCTTTCTCTGGCTGAATTACCTGTGTAATACAGGTACAAATAAACAGTTTTGTTGACTTAGCTGTGGAATGAGTTGGGATGGATGAAAGGAGGTGAGTGGATCTGCCTAAGTAGTTAATGTTTTCACTTGTTAGTCTTTCTACTACAGTGGTCCTATCTGGTGTCAGGGAGAGCCAAGTGGTGAAATATGACACGGTCTAGGGATGAGAATTGGCAGTTGTCCTGAGTACACAAATAGTTTCTTCCCTCCCAGGCCTATTTTATAGCCAAGTAAATAGAAAACAATTCAACAGGCTACTTGTTGGAGTCCTGTAGCAGAAAAATTATCTTTATAAACAGGTGAACACATAGCTTTTACAAAAAGTTTTCAGAAGAACAAAATGGCAAGGGAGGCTTATTTTTCCCTCATCTTATCCCTGATCTCTAAGTTAGAGTAAGGTTGATTTTAGATGTACTACTAAGCCTCTTTGTAGGTGATAGGGTCTGGGCTTCCCCAAGTTCAGCCAATCACATATTCTTCACTTTGGATCATAGTCAGCTAGATAAAGAAGTTGCTAGGAAGACTAAAGTCCAAACCTTCCTGTTGGATGGTCAAACAAATAGAGTTTGATCCCTGGCCCAGCCCTGCTCCATGTAAGCTAGCACACACACAACACTCAGGCAGTTGGTGATGGTGTAATTCCAGTCATTACTGACTTATCTGACAGGCCACCATTGCATGAGGCTTGACCTGACGTAGCTGCTCTAAATATAACCCTCCTTTTTGGCAGCTGCAAACACCTGGAGGAGCAGGCAGACCCCCAACAGAAAAGTATTTGCTGTTAATAGCATGTCTGTTGAACAGACATATACTCTCAGGGCTTATTTCATGCTATGTTTATGCATAATTAAAAACAACAACCCACTGGATCCATTGGCTTATGGTTGGGTTATGTTTAGAAAAATGCAGTTTGTGTTGTCTGTTGCGGGGACTGAAGATGTCCCTAGTATGAGTAAGACCAAAAGAGAAGCAGTTAATATAATTACCAAGAATTTTTTTGATTTCTCTAATAAACACAGCTTACTTAAACCCCTTAGTGGCCTTAGTTTCTGGCATTGATGATCCAAGCTGTCAATCTTGTGCTTCTGTTCAGTTAGGGACTCTGGTTTGTGTGCTTGGTAGTTCCTTCTGAGTAATTAAAAAGAACTCCAACATTTACAAAATGGTACTTCTAAAAAAGAAACCACGAATGTCTTATAAACATGTACAAGATACTTAACCTCTCTTGTGATAAGAGAAAACCATTTTAAGACCTCACCAAGATCTAACTTTTTACCTGTCAGATAGACCAAAATCCAAAATATTGGAGAAACACTGTTGATGACCAAGTGGGGAAATAGACACTCATTCTTGGTGGGAGCATTCATTAAATATGTAACTTTATTGAGGGAAGTTTAGATACATCTGTCAAATCACAAATATATATACTCTTTGACCCTGCAGTATCACTTACAAGAATTTATCTTACAGATATAAAATAATGTGTACTTAAGGTTATTTATTGAAAAATTGAAGATCGGAAAAAAAACTCAAAAATAGACTGGTTACAAAAACAATGGTGTATATCTGTACAGTGGATACTGTTGTAAAAAGCTACGAGAATACTCATTATGAACTGACATAGAAATGTCTTCATATTATAGTGTTAAGGGAGTAAAGAGCAATGTATAATATACTACCATTTGTGTAAAAAGGGGAAATAAAGAGCATACATTATTTGCTTGTATATGCATAAGGAAGTTTAGGAAGGATATTTAAGAAAATAATATAGAGGATTACTCATGTGTGTGTGTATGTGTGTGGTGTGTATGAAAGAAAGAGGTAAGATGGGTATTTTCCACTGTGTGAAACTTTTTGGACCATGTGCATGTATTATTTTTTCAAAAACTTAAATAATTAGAATGTTTTAAAAGATGGAGCTTCTTTGAATTCTGGTCACAGTAACAGAGGAGCTTTCTTTTAATCGCCTTTCTTATGCATACTTTCTATCCTTGTGGTTAAGAGGGAGAGTTCCCTGTTATTGTAGTGTCTGTTACTTTTCATGTGGGTATCTTGGGAAGAAGAAAGTGATGTACAAGTTTGTTGGTCCTGGTGTTTTAAGTGTTCTTCCTTAGCCAGAATCAGTGGCTCTAAAGATTTACATACCAGGAGTCTTAGGTTCTATGTCAAACTCTAAAAAATAGGTTTTTTCCTTTTGTTTGACAATTAGGGTAATATGCTTTGGACAGGACTGAAGTCTTTTGCCTTTTCTCTTTATTTGTAGGAACCTACAAGCAGCAATTGGCGCCTATTATGACTTTGAGAGCCCAAACATCAGTGTGCCCTCCATGTCCTTTGTTGAAGATGTCACTATAGGAGAAGGGGAGTCAATACCTCCTGATACTCAGTTTATAAAAACGTGGCGGATCCAGAATTCTGGTAAATGTATAATGGGCAATTCTTCCTTGACCAGTTCTCTTTTTCTTAGTAGTTAAAAGAAATAAATGTTTTAGCTTAAGTTATATGATTGTATAACTGAGTTTTATCTTCTACATGATGTAGGATTTTCTTGTACTGGAATCATGACCAAACATCAATGAAATACCCCCTGCCCCAGATTAGGAAGAAGGATTTAGGTCTTGGTGGCATCAAAACACAATTCAGTATTCATTTGATATCAGGAAGCTAGGCCTATGTGTGGTGGCGCTATTATCTCCACCTGCACAGTTCTACTCCATCATGTTACTTCTGCTCTAATTAATCCTCCAGTTATTTCCAGTGGGCTAGAGGAAGTAACATCCTTGAATAGAACAAGGTAGATAGAAAGAGCTGTATGTGCTCATTTGAAAGCTCATTTCTTTGCAACCATAAAGGTGATTCTACCTGAAATGTCATTGAAATACCTGAGACATTAATACTAGTTTGAAAAATAGGGTAAGAGGTGCGCTCAGAATGGGAAAGATTGATAATTGTTTTTTTTTTAAATATTGTTCTAAAAAATTTTTAAAACATTATTTTGATGTACTGCTGAACTAAGAAAAATTAAAATTAACCATAGTTCTTTGAAAATAGTATCTGGTAACTTAATTATTACCTTTCACTTGCTAAACTCTTTTCTAATAATGTTTTTTGAGTGGGTTTAGTATTGTTTGTTCCATCCAGTAATAATTTATGCTGACTGGATGAGGATGCTTTAATTTCCTTATTAGTGAAGACTTACAGAGAAAGTTTGAGAGATGGAAAACTAGGCAAAAGGATTATTTAACCAAAGATTTGTGGGTGGTGTGGGGTGCTGTTTAGCAAGGTAATCTGATGTAAGATGAAAACTCTGGGAGTTCAAACATATAAAAATGACCTTTTATTGATTGATCACTTTTCAATTGTTAATACTTCAGTTCTTTTATGATAGGGAAAGACTGGCTAAACAAGGATTTTATATGTTACAGTTAATGCACTAGGTTATTCTTAATTTTTCTGGCTTATTTAGAAGTAATTCTCTCTTGGATGAAGGTTTGGTGTGTCACTGAACAAACATACAGTCTGGATCAATGCAGTGTTATAGACGATTGGGGACATCTGTGGCTTTATAAAATTTTCATTAGCTTCTTTTCCCTTTTGGTTCTAATAGTGTGGTGTATTGTTAGTTTGAGAGGCACATGGTAGTATGGGAAAGTAGCCTTAGAATTTCTTTTTCAAAGCTTATCTTTACTTTGTCTGATTTCTTTCTCTTTTTTTTTGGTCTAATGTCTTTCTCAACCTTAATGTCTGCTTTTAACAATGCTAAAACAATCTCTTTAATTCAGCTTCTATTCATCCTGTTCTCTGAATTACCAAAACTTGCTGTGTTAACTAATCAAAAACGCTTTTGAAACCTATACATGAATTTTTAAAATGAGTGACATTTGCTTAGAAAATATGACTTACTCAAAAGTTTTATTAAAAAAAATGAGTCCAAGACTTCATTTATTAATAGTGAAAACACTGAAAGTGGTGTGTCTTCCTGTGAGTTCTTTATAGTGTTTTTAAATATTGAAAGTTGTTAGAATACTTCGAACAGTTTTACTGTCTTGTTGCAGAATAACCATTTTATATTTCAGAAAGCCTCTTAACATGTCTGTTTACTCACTAGACAGTTCCTTGGGTTAATGGAAAATTGGTGGGGATTGATAGAAAATGATTAGAATGTCAAATCAAAATCCCAAAGAGCATGCCTTTCACCTGACTTGGAGGAAACCTGTATGGGTGGTGCTGGATGCTTTTTCCTCCTGGATGCTTTTGCATAATAACTCCAGTTGTAAAATGCCTCTGGGTCTGCAGCCTTTCTTCCTGTAAAAGGGCATTCTTGTTGCTGAACACCTTTTGAAAAGTTGGACAGTATTTGCTAGAGATTTTACCCTAAGGTACTTTGAACAAATAGGTTTTTTATTCTTCTGGTCAGCCAGTTGTAAAATAGTTTTGTATGTATAAACTAAATTGTTTCCATTTGATTAAGGAATAGCTGGCCTCCCATAACTAAGTTAACAGTTATGTTACTAGAGAGAGGGAAAGCATGCATGTGTACTGGTCTTCAGCCTCATCCTAATCTGGTCTAAGTTCTTTCTGGAAATAGAGTAGTAACTCAGAAGTAGGGCAGACTGTTTCTTCTCTGGCTCTCTTACTCTGATTCATAACCATCCCTAAAAGATAAGTGTTCACAGAAAGAGTTTTATAAATAATGTTCATGGCACCTCTCTGCTGTCCTGTTTTGGCACACCAGTCATTCAAATATACAATAGGTGAGATTGATAGGAACTGCATATAACTGTCCCAGTAGCTTTTTCGAAGAAGATAAATGTCACACATTGTTTAAAATTAAACTCCTAATATTGTTTAAATCCTTAGATTCAGACCATAGGAAAACAGAAATGATACAGTTAGTGACATAGGTGCAAAATCTTCATATCTGAAATTTTGGCACTTATATAGGTATCAGAAACTTGGGAAATTTGAGCAGGAAGCCTTACAGTGAGAGTTTAAAATGAAAACTTTAAACTGTCCCTCTAAAGATGAAAGTAGACAATTCTCTTTACTAACACTTAAAGCTTCTTAGTTGTTAACATCCATGCTCTGTTATCCAACTGTAAGTGAATGTTAAGCTGAGCATGTTGTAACAGGTGTTTCTTTGATTTTGGTGAAGTAGTTGTGATTATCATATGAGAGAGTGGCTTCAGGGTCATCTTTATTTTTTTAGAAGTGAATATAAAACAAGAGTTGGGAAAAGAACTTGAAAAAGAGTAACTATTTCCTCTGTCTTTCTTTTGGCTCTTTAAAATAGTTAATTTTCTGCCTTTCTCTTCAGTATGACTATAGAGAAGATAATTCTGCTTCATTCACTTAACAAATTATATTATGTTCCAGTCACTTTATCAGGTACAGGGAGAAAATGGTGACAAGATCAATGAAGGTCCCTGTTTACATGTAGCTTAATTTGAAATGCAGTCTGCAAACATACAGGGATTAAAAAGAATAGGGGCTGTTCATCAAGGTTTGTCTTCTTATGATTGCTCTTCAGATGTTTCTTATTGTCTCTAAACTATTTCTGTATGTAATCACTTAGATCTAGTAACCCCCAGGCTTTTTGGAACTAATGGACTTTTATTTCATTTTTGCCATGCTGTCATCTCAAAACTGCATATGACAGGTTTTTTTGTTTTGTTTCCACTTTATATATATTTTTTTCATTCTTTTTTTTTTAGAGACGAAGGACTTTATTACTCACTGAATAACAAGCAACATGAGCATCAGCATATTTATATCAGTTCTCCTTGTACCAAATCTCACTTGGGTGCCAATGAGCCCAGATGAATGTGCATGTAATGGTTGAATTAAATAAACCCTTAATTTAGGGAACCCAAATCTTTTATTTATTTTTTGTTTTCTTATTTTTATTTTTATTTATTTATTATTTTTTTTGAGAGGGCATTTCTCATATTTATTGATCAAATGGTTGTTAACAATGATAAAATTCTGTATAGGGGACTCAATGCACAATCATTAATCAACCCCAAGCCTAATTCTCAACAGTCTCCAATCTCCTGAAGCATAACAAACAAGTTCTTACATGGTGAACAAGTTCTTACATAGTGAGTAAGTTCTTACATGGTGAACAGTGCAAGGGCAGTCATATCACAGAAACTTTCAGTTTTGATCACGCATCATGAACTATAAACAATCATCTACTTTATATTTTTTTAAAACTATATTCCATGATAACTGAAGAATCACAGGCTTGTGGTACTTAAATTGGAAAGTCATAAAACAGATTAATTTTACTTTTCTTCTAGATACATCTATACCCCATTAAGCCAACTTAAATTTAATTTGAAGCCCATCTCAAATCTAGATTTCAGGCATGCTTAGCCTGGTAGCCCAAGCAGCTCACCAGTACTTCCCTTCCTTCTGACCTTTTCAGAGTTATCTAACAACGGGGCTATAAGAATTATATGTCATAGTGAACTATCAGTAACTCTCAGCAGGCAGATGGTTGGTTCTTATTATAGTAAATTAATGGTAGATAACTTCCAGTTTTTTCTTCAAGAAGCTTTCCAAGTTCCACATAAATAGGGGGATCTGGTGTACTAAAAAGATAGGACTGTAGCTGCATAATTTGTTAACCATTTTACATTTACCAATTAATTCAGTGTCCCTGGAATACAGCAGAACACCTCTTTTGCATAGTTGAGAGGTCTGACCATCTCAGCTGCTGTGGTTGTCTGCCCAGGACAGCCAAGTATTTCACATATCCAGACAGTCTTGTTTTTTCATATAACAGACATTGTCTTGTTACAGGAGTGTGTGTGTGTGTGTGTTTTAAAGGATAATTGTGGATATAGCCGTGTGTGTGTGTGTGTGTGTGTGTGTGTGTTTTAAAGAATAATTATGGATTTAGCCCTGTAACAGTCGTTTACTTTTCCTCTTGGACTTCGTCTTTAAAGAGACTGACATTTTCCAAGGTGCTTCATATCAGCCACTAGTATTCTTAACCTAAGACAGTATACTTTTGCCACGCCATAGGCCCCAGAAATGAAAACCAGAATTTGCATGTATTGCCAGGATATTATCCAAAACCTTGCCACCAAAATCAGCTGCCATATATAGTGTATATAGTGTTAACTTAAGAGAATACTTGGCTGGCAGGTTCTTTTTAAGAGGATGTGGTAAAACATAGTGGCCACTGCTTCATCCACTACCCCTTAAGATAAAAGAGCCACAGAGGGTGCTGTTGATAATGGGGCTGAGATTTCAACAATAGAGCACAGGTTGCTTTTCTCTCTTGTTCCCTTTTCAGTAGTAAGCCATTGGGTATTTTGAAACCATCCCAGCACTTTGAGATTGAGGTACTGAGGCATCCTAGAGTAGTATTAAGAGATAAATTTCAAGCATGCTATGTCCAAGAGTCC